ATTATTAAGGCCCCTATATTAAGTATATGGCTTCGGGCTGTTGGACTTGCAACCGAAAGCTGCACGGCAACCCGGTTTTCACACGTTTTGCTGGGACATTCTCGAACCCTTGCAGCGCTAGATCAATAAAACACGCAGAAGAAGGGCCTGGATAATTGGAGTAGGGCTTGGGGCGGCCCTGGATATGTGCATGTGTAAGACATACAAAAATATATACATGTATATATATATATATATATATATATGTATATATATATATATAACATAATATACACATATAATAACTATTATAAGTCTGCTGCAGAACCGTCGGAAATAGTACTGAAGTACCCGTTGTTCATGCCCGTGAGTCTCCTATAGACCCTCTTTTCCACGAGTGTCCTTGGTCCCCAGGAGGTACGGCTCCAACTGAGCGACGTCTGGGTCACGACCACTGACATACCTTCACCAGGCCGGTATAGAAGGCAAGGGACCGCTCCTACATTTTTTGATGGCTTGCTAGATAGAAACATAGCATGCCCTCGCAACTCCGATCCCCGATCGCTGAGAGGGAGGCCTGTTGAAAGCATAGATTTTCAGCAGCTTGCTCGTCATATTGGTAATGGCATGTCCCATGACGTCATCCACCGTCTGCTTGGAGAAGGTCGTCTCTGTGATGTCCGTGCTCGCCAAAATGTCTCTGACGCACACTCGGGAACAGATCGATTCCCAAGACATCTTCATCCCCTTCACCTGCAAGCACTCGGTGCATCTCTGGCACAAAACTGACTGTCGCAGACTCTGAGAGATCATCAGATGAGACGTGCACTACAGAACATGACGGTTGCTCTGTGCCAGGCCTTCTCGCTGACAGGGACGTTGCCAAAGGTATCTTTCGACTTGTTGTCTGACTCTCGGGAGATCTTGACATATGCTTCGCGGATGCTCTGGAGTACCTTCTTCTCCACGGAGATATACCACTTCGTGGCGCGAACCTCGGCAAGTCTTGGTTTAGGGTCTTTAGGCTACTGCTGTTTACGTGGCTAGAACAAGCCATCACCCCGCATTACAGTGTAGGGTGTAGGGTGTTTACATGGTATTCCAAGAGGCATAGTCCGGCGTTCCTCGCAGATCCTCTTCAAAGGCTGCGAAGGCGCGATCAACAACTTCCTGGGTTCTTGTGAAGGGAGTTAGTCTAAGTTACCCATAAAAAAAACATATTACTTATTGTAAACCCCTATTATGGTAACTGAAAAGTAAGCTCCTTAATTAACAAGAACCCAGCTTCGTAGTTCACCAGGGTGTTCACACGGAAGCGCACGAAGAGATTCGCCTTCACTGGGGTCACTGGGTGTCTGGGCTGGAATCCCCAAGTGGGGGTTTCCGAAACTAGGGGACCCTAATATAGTACCCTAAATGATAGGATCCTTATTACGAGGACCCCAAAATAAGGTACCCCCCTATTTTCGGAAAGTCCCAAGTGGCCCCAGTGACAAGGGTGCCAGAGCGGCGACCTGACCAACTACGACGGAGCCTGAATCAAAAGCAACAACGACTACTCGAGCCAGTTCAGGACCAGCTGCAACCATGGGAGGTATTCGGCCAACTGCCTGGCGAAGTGGCTTGCACTGGGAACTGAGCTGCTGTTTATGGCCTTCCCAGCTGGGATGAGGAACACGCAAACAGCACTGCTACAGGGATTCCTTCAGCTTCATTGGGCACCCACTCTACAATTTAGATGGGACATTGGCGATTCTGCACGACCTTGCAGGACGAGCATGCAGACTATCAACGATGCATACCCATAAAACACTGCCACAAGTGAAGCCGCTAGCTCAAACATATATAGGAATCAGATTTTAGAAAGGGTTCCTCGGATGGACACAAAGTGACCATAACAAGGGTAGGGAAGTCTAGGTGCACCCCCTCGGCCTTGTTCCACTCGTCATCCAGCACGAGCTCTGTCAGCTTCGGCGGGAATGTCTCGAACATTGCTTTTTCCTGACCGTTTACAAGCACATCTGTTGACTCTGACGACACAACTCTACGACTCGAGTGCATGCAGCCCACCGTGGGTCAGCACGTTGTCATCGATGCAGGAACAGACACGACCATCCCAGCAAGAAACCTATCAGCGCACCAACATCTGGGAACATTTGCAAAGTGTTCGGACTTGCCGGTAAAGCATCCGGAATCCTGAATCACCGAAGTAATACAAGCTCCTCCCCTTTCAACCCCCGAACATCCCTGAACATCGAACCCTGAACCCTGCCTGGAGGTTCATGGGTAGCGAAAAAGGGAGCTATAAGTAGGATAACTGAGATTATCACCCATACTAGAGGACTTAGAACCCCACTGATAACCCTAAACCCTAAACCCTAAGCCCTAACCCCTAAACCCTAAACCCTAAAACATGAACCAAGTAGGGACTTGAGCCAGGCTTCCCAGTTCAGGTAGTTGGCCTTCTCAACGTGCACGGCCGCAAAACCTTTCCTTGGGTTTAGGGTTTAGGGTTGCAAAGCAAGGAACACTTTGCAGTAGCATAGCGGCCTTAACAGTAAGACTAGGCTTTTGCTGTGTGTTCGGGTACAATATCTTTCGTAATACGTAGCTCATGAGAAATCATTGTTTGGGCCGTTTTTGGATGTAGGATGACCTACGGTTTGGGATTGTTGGATTAGGTCTTATACAGTTGTTGAATGTCTAGGCTTGAAATGCTCGCGGAGCTGAAGCAGTCCCCACTCCAAAGCCTATCTTCGGTCCTCTACAAGGGTTCGATAGTGGTATTACAGTATAGTACAGAAAAGTATAGTATAGTACTATAGTATAGGAGAGTAGAGTATACATATGTTCCGTTTTGATAAGTTTTGCTACGGCATGTAGTAACGGCATGTTGTAAAATGTTCCGAATCTATCATAATCGGTACCCCAAGCTAGGTGGACCCCAACGCTGTTCTCTTCCACGCGCCACTTCAATCCTCACCGTGTGCTCTCCTGGCTGCTGGTGTCGTGTCCTTTTTTGGCAAGTCTTGCAACACTTCTGTTGAATCCTTGCTGCAGTTGGTGATAGCCGCTGTCGTGGTTGAGCTTGGAGCGCTAGTGTGCAAAACATTGGAGGAGCCATGCGCTGTAAACGATAAACTGTAATCACCCATAACACACTACAACAGACCAGAATAAAGTCATAACATACCACAATACACTATAATAAGCCCTAATGAACCGCTTCCAAGGATCTCTGTCATGTACTTCTTGAAGCCTATGTGGAGCTCATCCCGGGGAAAATTCGTCGCGCCCTCACCGCCGACCACGATGTAGGTCAAGCCTGTTTAGGATGAGGAGCTTAGGGGTGTAGGACTTTGGGGGTTTAGGGTTGTGTGCAGAGTTGGTCTGCGGGGTGGTGGCTATACAGGCCCCCTATGGCCCTATGATATGGAGCCTGAAGGCAAAAAAAAACAAGCTAGGGCCCTCCCGTGCCTTTGGCTCCCGGTCTTGGAACCACGTGTGCCAGTGCCCCCAAGGGCCCCGTAGGTGGGCTGGCAAAGTCCGACGAGAAGCCTTCCAGAAACCCTGGAGGATCAGACCCCAAACCCCAGAGCCCTAGATTGCAGGGTACGGGTGCAGGAGTTCGGGTTTGCTGTCGGTCGAGAATGTCAGGAATGTCAGGAGAGGGAGGTGACACATGCCCGCAGCCTGAAATCGGCGAAATTTGGAGGACCACGTCATACTCTCCTGGCCGAATCGGGATGTCATAAGCAGTGTGGGACGAGGAAGCTCAAAGCCGTGTCTTGACTGCTGGCTGCAATCGGTTGTACAACCTCGTAGAGATGTGATATGACGATCTACCGGGCTGACGATGATAGGCGTGACGCCGCTGTCCATGATGCCACTCTTCTTGCTGGTGGTGTTGTGGTAAAGACGGGGATGTTGATGCTCATGATTATGATTTCTGCTCAAACACGACCGGCAGGAGCCGAAGCAGCAGCCTTACAGCACCAGCAGCATCATTGTGGCCGTTTTCGTCTTGTCTTTGTCTTGTGGTGGGCGGAGGTGGTGGTGGTGGTGGTCGTGGTGGCGGTGGTGGTGGTGGTGGTGGTGGTGGTTCTGGTGGTGGTGCTGGTGGTGCTGGTGGTGCTGGTGGTGCTGGTGGTGCTGGTGGTGCTGGTGGTGCTGGTGGTGCTGGTGGTGCTGGTG